ACATCAGCTCAGACTGCAGATGGGATTGCATTCACCCCTCTGTGACCATTTTCCGTTCAGGCTAACTGTCACCAATTCCACTGAGTATTACTGGAAAAGGTCTTAGCTTGCCCTGATGTCTCTGCGGTGATTGTCTCCAGAGCTGGCCTCACTGATTGCTTACGAAGAGGCCCTTGCTCTTATTGTTGTGTCTCACCTTCAAGCAACCCTGGTGTACCTCAGTGACTCTAAACAGACATAAAAACGCTGTTTGTGTTTCAGGTAATGGGATGATTGCTTGTGTCTGGGGGTTTAAAAAAAAAAATGAGCAGCCTGTCTATTAAAGAGTTTTTTTCTGTCCCACTCACTCGCTCATTTGCGATCTCTCACATACAATTAAATCACAAAGCCATGTACACTGACGATATCAAGTGAGTAAACTAGCCGTGTGTGTTAGTGTGTGGGAGTTTATTTTGTCATGAAAGAGAAAAGTGCACTCAGCAGACTCATCATGGCACCCTGTCCCTCTATTTTCTTGCGTTAAGTGCTCAGGAAACCAGGCAATTTAGAAAAATGAGTCTGTTGTGTGCTGGTGAAAAACAAGTTTTTGTCCTGCCCGTGTCAAGTATTGCTTGGAAGAAAACTCACTGTGTACCCACTTACCTGTTAATGTCACAGTGCCATAATTGGTTAACATTTGGGTCTATGGTGCATATTGTGTGTTTTTCTGTGTCTTTGTAACACCTTAAGACTCCTAGGATTTAAGTTCCAAACAATTAAGGTTTTGCAGTGCAACACAATTCTGCCACGTCACACAGCATCATCTCATGCCAGTCGACACCCATAGCACACTTTGTGCATGTCATACATACAGAGGAAAGAGTAAAGGTACAGTTAAGTAGGCAGAATGTGCTGAATCTGCGTTTCTGAAATGTTGTAACACGTCAGTGCTGGGAAATAGTTAGACATTTGTGATTCCCGATGAGTCGATGAGCATCAATCCACAATAGTACCTCATCAGTGTGCATTTTTACATAGATTTACATGGATTGCCAGGCAAAACAGACAAACCTGAGCCCCCAGACTCCCCATAAACCCCAGGTTCTCAGGATAATCTGATTAACTGTTGTTGTTTATTAGGGAATTGGGCTGCCCTGGGCTTGGGATTAAGGCGGAAACCTTGAACAACTTCAGAATACAAACAACTTCCCCATCTTCCCTAATTTCTAGTCTTAACTCTGTTGCTGTCTGTCTAATAAAGGCATACAATGTCCAATATCTTTTTAAAGGTTAGAGACTTGTACTGAAGGTTTACATGGTCTTATGGGGTTTTCTGTTCTTGAAAACAGATGTTGGCATTTCTCTGCACCAAAGTCACCAAGACCGACTGTAACAAATCAAATCAAGTTTATTTG